CAGGCTGTTTCCCGCTCCGCAGCTCCGGGTTCGGTGCGGGTGACGGGTCGTGCCTTCCCCCCACGCCTTCCTGTCCTCCCTCAGGCTGCTGGGGCGATCCTTTCCTTTGCCTATTCGTCCTAACACCGCGGTGCCCGGGGAGGTGGTGTTTTGCTTCCGCTCATACACTGGCGTTGAAAACGCCTCCCAGCCGGCGGCAGAGACTTCGGGGCTGTGTTAAAAGACTAAAGCTGTGAAAGGTTAGGGAAGCCAGGTTTTAGTCTGCTGTTGAAATGGTTCTGGGGCACTTTAATGTACTTTCTGGAGTTTAAAGTGTTATCATCTCTTAAACCCTTAATTTATAAGTTTTCTGTGTAGAATGTGTTTTGGAATGCTGATTTTCCTAAAATCACTCTTTGTAAAAACATAACATGGACTTTTTGGGTTTTTTTTTTGAATGTCCTTAGTTTTAATGAAAAAAAAAATAAGTTGAGACAAAGCTCTGTACAACTGCTTTTTAAAGAAATAAACTTCAGAGAGTATTGTAAGACTCATCTTTTCCTCCTGATGTAGAGGGGAAGGTTTGAAAGGAAAATACGCCACCAAGGCATCATTCGTTATATCTAGGGACGCATTTGTCCATTGCACGAGTTTCATTGTTTTTTTTAAAGCTTGAGAGGTATGATTTGTAAGATAATTGAAATTGCAAAGTATGTATACAAAATAGGATGTATGCTGGTTAAATACGAGGAAAACGAGAGGTTTGACATGTAATTCTCTTGCTTTTTGACGTTAATATTACAGTCCAGGAGTTGCATCTGTTTCTGCCAAGTGCAGACAGGGGCTGGCAATTTCGAAGTAAAAAACGTTCATTTTGTCACTCGTGTAAAATATAGGAAGAAATGTAAGATATTTTAGGTGATGAGAAAACTTGGAAAAATAAGTGGCTCCCCCTGCTGCTAATCATTGGAGAGCAAATGTAGCTCAATAGATGATGAGAGCTATTAATCGCCAAATATTAGTCTGTACATAATAACAATTAAAAATACAGTAATTTATCTGAAGGTTTTTCAAATTTTCTTACATCAAGTCTATATTAGGTATTTGGAAACAAATGTGATATTGTTTTGAAACAGAAGGTTGGCCGAATACCAGAAAAACGTGCTCCTAACTGTAGTGAGACACACCAAAAACCACCAGAAGGGTCAGCCAAAAGGCTGGTTTTCTTTTGGCAGTAACTTTGTGTCAGAGTCTGAAGCAAGAGCTGAATTCAGGTAGCGGACCTGTTGTGCTACGATGCTGAGACCCGTTTGCATCTCTCAGGTTCTGAAGATCTCTTTCAGCGTTAAACCTTAAAATCATTCACTTTTGTAAGTAAGAACAGCCACTACGTGTTACAACCTCTGGTAGAGCTTAGCAGCAGCAAAGGAATAAAAAAAAAAAGAAACCCCCACAGTGTTTGGAGCCAACTTAGTGCCTGATTTATGTTGAAAAAGAAGGGGGAATGCCTGGAATGCTGTAGCAAGCAAGAGAGTCCAGGAGTTAAATTTGAACTTTGATCTTTTAACTAAAAGTTGACAAAGGTTATTAATTGTTAGGAAATATGTTGGGTTCTAGTGAACTTACTGGTACATCTCATGTGTGTACATCTCAATAAGTTTCACTGTGAGCACCACAGCCGAAATAGAATTTGGATTAAATAACCAGATTTATATAATTAGGAAACTCCATGTTGCTTGTTTTATTGCTGGTACTGTAAATCTCCCACCATGTTCATAACCCAAGACTGCTAGCAACCATAGCAAAAGGCAGGCCCTGCTCAAATCACTTACAATTTAATTACACTGAAAGGAAATACGGAGTGTGAGTGAAAAATAATACAGGAATACTTTTCCATGAATGATCCCGTTGGTATTTTTGGTAAGAGAAGGATGCGTGCTCTAACTTGCAGTTGATATTTATTCTGTAAACTGGTTTGATGCGCAATGTCTCTTGCTCAGTTTGTTCCCTTAGTGGTTTTGTTCAGATGTCAAACATTTTGTTAAGCAGTCTGACTCTTAGAAAGTCTACAATGTAAAAGGTATAACTGTGTGTACAAATGCGTTTTTGCACAAATAAATTCACATATTTTAATATCGCTAGGCTCACCTTACAAGGTACATTTGTGCTAGCAAGCTAAAAATATGCAGAATCAAGGTGGGACTTGGAATTTTAGATCCCTCTTTTTGCTCTTCATTGAACCACTGGCACGGAAGTTTCCATTGAAGCTTGCATCCTACAAAAGAGAATCACTCAGGCAGACCCCTAAATTGCAGCTCCCCAGCATCCTAAATCATCCCATTTCATTCTGCCTGAGGGATTAGGAATGAGCAAAGGGTGGAAGGTTGTCCCTCCTTCTCCTGTCAGAAATAAAGGATGCATTAGACGTGTTCAGTCAAGGTTAGCCATCAGCTTTTAAGGTCAGGAAGCTGAAATGGTTCAGAGCTCTTGGACAGATTTTGTCAGCAAGGAAGAATGTTAAGGACTCCTGCTTGCTGGCAGATACTTAATGGCACTCTTGGAGTTTTTAGCAGACGTTTAGTATTTTGAAGGCTTGCATAAACAAAAACATGATAATACCTAGTCACAAAACATGATAATACCTTGTTAATTCACTATCTTGTTGGATAAATGCAATCATGATATTGCTATTATAGTAAAATTAATATAACAAAGATTACTTAGAACTCAACTTAAAGAAGCAGAGCCAAGGCCTGTGTGAAGGAAGCTTAAAATGAAACGTGGGATACCAACATATCTCATACCAGGGCATGAGGGTACACGTGGTAATGTGGTGATCCTACTGGGCTCAAGACAGAAGAAGCAACGTTTGCATAGAGCTTTTTAATATATTTTGCAAAGGGATGGAGTCATTTAGTGATCATGAATAATTTGCACAACTTGTGAGAAAAATGCAGCTGGAAAATTATTTTTGGTACCTTTTTTTTCACCCCATTTGACAAATGTATGGTCAGTAAACCATGTTTCTCATGGAAAAGTTCATATTTATTTATGCCTAATACAGTGGGGCTGTGATGTGGTTGGAATGAATTTGAAGGGATGAATTTGTGACAGTTTTAGGGGAAAAGTGTTTTTTGCATGTGATAAAAATAAAACATTTTTAAAGTGTCAAGTCAGTATATCCCATTAGTTATATTATAATATGTGGTTGGTTGGTTGTTTTTTTTTTTTTGTCTCTGCCTGAATGAATAGGATGCGTTTACTTAAATCCCAAAAGACAGTTTCTTATGTTAAATGTACTTAATGTAATATGTATTTTTGTTCTTAATTATCTGGTAGATTATGTGAGGAGGTATTTTTCTTTGTTTCTTTGGCTTATGTACTATTACTTGTAAAAGTTTAATCATCTTTGTGATCTCTTCTGTTAAAGTTAGCAAATGCTGGGTTAGCAAATGCTGATCTGGTTGTGGACACTAAATTTAGTGGTGTCATAGGGAGTGACTACTGCTGATTAGGGGATTCATTACGATGAAAATTTCTGTCGGTGCCCTCAGCTGACTGAACAAAATGTGACTAAAATCAGTAGGGTGAAAGAGGAGGAAATGAGACAGGAATATATAGGCAGAAAGGATAAATGGTGTAATAGGTGAAAAATGAATGATGACCTGAGTAAATGGGTCTCACATCTTTGGAAAATTGTTACTTGAAATAAATGTTTAGTGTTCAAATTTTAATTAATTCAGCAAAGTGAGAAAAGCGATGAATACAGTTGTACAAGATGAGATCCTTGCTCCTCACCACCACTGCGGCAGGACAGGAGGAATGCAAGGAACTTGGCAAGTTCTACGTTTGTTTAAAGAACCAGGGACAACAGCCAGAAACTTGTGAGTGGAGCCTGTAGTGAAATACGCATTCCCTCTGTCTTCAGTAGGTGCTGCTGCTCATAGGGAAACTTGGGAGCAAAGCTCTAGGTCAGACCGATCCGGAGTCTTTGTCTGGATTGTGTCAGAAACACTCCTGCCTCGGGAGCTGCTTGAAGTCAGAAGGCCTAAAGCTCTGTTGTGCTTTTCCGGAGCTATGAGTCCTCTTTCACCTCCAGGGAAAATATTCCTTCAGTTGGGTTTCTGATACTCACTGCCATGAAGCAGGCCAAGTAAAGCCTACTGAGAAGACAAGCGCCATATAATGTAAAGTAGCTATTGCACAACTATGTCTATTGGTCTATAATAGCAGATAATACTGCAGATAAGTATGAATTGTATAGTTTCTCATAAAGTGAAATCTTTGGAAATACAAGGAAGACATTCTAGCAGTATCTTGAAATGCTGGGAAATTATCCTAGTGAAATCGCTGTTGCAATACAGGTTGATAATCTTAAATTCCTTCTCAAATTTTCTTAATATGATCAAGTATTTCAGAGTCTCTGTAGACATAGTCTCTGTGTTTGAAAAGTAGACCTCATTTTTACCCTTACTAAAGAGTATCCACAGTATGGATCTATATTTCACCAATATTAGAAAGTTTTTTCAGCTGAAGCCAAAAGAAGCATTTTTTTCTTTATTGTAGTTTTAAAAATGTTTACTGGAATATAATTGCACATTGAAAAAATACCATAAACAGTTCAGTTTTTAACCTTCTAACCACACAGTTAAAAACTACTGAAAGTGATTTAACACAAGGAAAGATGACGTAAGATCTTGTTTGTCAAGTAACGCTGGATACCTGATCTTTCTCACAATCCTAGAACTGTTGCAATTTACATCAAAATAGTGGCATGACTTTTCCATGTTACATGTCACATCTACCTATATGTCAAAATATAAACAATGTGCGGGACATTTACCTGAAGTTATACATCTGGTTTTATATAAACAGACCACATTACTGCTTGGTCACATAATGCAAAATCTTCCTAGAAGTTTTTGGTCAAACTAGTTTTCCATTGTTTTGCAGTCATCCAACTCTCTGAAGGCATCTTATGAAGACTGGCTGCTGACATACGGCTTGAGCGTCTCTCCTTTTCACATGCGATGGCAAACAGCTCTCTTCAACCGCCAGTTCTACAATTGGGGGAGATGGAAACCCAGATTTCTGTATTTATGGTATAAATTAAGGATTTTTTTTCTTCTGTCAAATACAGTCAACATCTTAACTATATCAGTGCCTTTCAACCTTAAAAGTGTAATGGGTAGACATGGTTATTTCACAAGGCTAATGATAAAGCCAAACTAGTGTGGTTGCCATAATTGTACTGTGCCAGTATAAGCCTTTCTCCTCTGCTAGAAAATACATAGTTGTAATATAGGTTGCATACTGAGATGCTATAAAACTGTAAACTATTTATCCCTATAGTTTGAACTGTACATAGTTCTTAGGAGTACAGCTATTGCATGTAATACTGCGTACAGAAGCAGGTCTGAAAGCAGCTTCTCATGTCCTAGACCTGCCCATCACTGTACTGTGAGCTCTCCCCTGATCGACAGAGTTAACAAAGTATTCAAACAATTTTGTCCCTGCTGTTACTCATTGCCCAGACTTTCAGCAACTATACCTGCTCAGAAGCACATTGCTTAGCTTCTGTCTTTTCTGCCTGCACCTTTCCCTGCTAAGATTGCATAGGCTGCTGGGAATGGGTAAATAAGCAGGGTGGTTAGTATGAGTGCTCCTGGACTGGTTTGGAAAATTATTACTCATTTGCCTTCCGAGCATTACTTTATATCTGCTCCGAAAATATAAAATGAGTAAGGTTTGAATTTCTTTTCATTTCCTGTATTGCTGCTCTCAGTGAATTAGTAATAAAAGAGAGGTCTGCTTCATATTGGTTTCTTTCATACGTAATGGTTTTACTATTTCAGCCTGAAATAGTTCTATATCAATCACAATTTTTTAATGCATGTGATTTATAACAGTATAATGTTTCTACCAGTCTCTTTAACAAGTACATGCTCCTTAAAATAAATCCACTAATTCCCAGTGAGCTTCATTAAGGATGGTCAGACAACAATTATGCTATTGTGAGAGGAAGAAGGACTGGTAGTGAATTGAAGTGTTTTAGCTAGAAAATAAACTTTATCACATCTTTCAACTATTGGACAGCGTAAAATAATAATAATAATGCTGAATAAAAATTCACCACTAGGTGGACTGATGTAATTTGAAATTATTTTCAACACTGATTTTAATGCAGAATAAATTGGTGAGAAGAACAATGTGTTTTAAATAATGTATTGTAATCTGATCTTGCAGTTGTACCTTTTAGTTGTCCTTCTTTTAGAAAGGTTAAGACTCATTTATTTTTCTTTAGCACTTTTTATTGTTTGTGAGGAAGATGCAAAATTAATTGAAAAAGCTTATATAAACACATATGTATGCTACACCATCATTTGATTCAGGTCTCTAAATATGTGATGGTGTGGTGCAAACATGGCAAGTTATACATCGTTAGTTATGTTTTTATATTCATAGCTAATGACAAGTTACATGTATTGGGTAACTGAATAAAATTTAGAATGTGTAAGAATAACATAAAAATATTTGAAAATTAGTCAAGATATGGTTCAGATGTAAAACATTTATTAAACAAGGAAAATATATGTTACTAGTCAATGTTACTAGTCAATGTTGTTATTGTTGTTACTTTCCTTTAGCTAATATTTTTGTACTGGATTGTCGATATGTGAAAGGTAGTAGCATCAGATAAGTTTTGCCTTTTGAGTTTGATATGTTAAGTTGTATTAAAGTAGTTACATGTCCATAGAATATACCCTGTCTTCTTGTGGCTGTGCATTATTCAACTGTGATTCTCTTTGTAGGTTCAGCATAGGAATGGTGTTTGGTATAGTTGCCATGTTTGGCTCTGTTATTCTTCTCGGAAAGACGCTGATGCAAACACTGACACAGATGCTCACTGAGGCACCAAAAGCCCAGAATGATCGTATGCTGCAAGTTGTAGTAAGTGTTCTCTTCTCAGGTCTTTATTTGAGAGTTGTGAACTGGTCTTCACCAGCTTCTTAATTGGGTATGTGATGGCTAAATCCTCCCCTGCAAGAATAACCCAACTCCTGATATTTGTCTACAGAAAAGTTTGCTGATTTGTTATCAGTCTTAAAAATGGGAAGTGGAGATAGTAAAGAGAGGAAGACAAACGCAGGCAAACATGTGGATGAGTTTATATTAAAAATTCCAAGGAGTGAAAATTGGCTAGTGATTTTGAAAAGCCCTAAATTATCAACTGCTATTGATTTCAGAACCTGTCATGAGAGTTAGCTTCTCTTTTAGGTGAATCTTAAACTACCTTCTTTGACGTGAAGTCTGAAAGCATCTGGTGCTGTGTTCTAACACGCTATAGTCATGATGGTATTAAGTTGGCAACTCTTGCTATCTGTCCTCCCATGTGCTTGGAGCAGAGGGCCAGTGGCAGCGCGTTATCTGATGCATTAGTGCCACCAGCTGATGCTGTAATACAAGCAATGGGTACTTAACAAATGGGGAGCAGCTGTCCTCATACAGTGAGGTACGATAGTCGTGCCTGTTCAGATAAATATCTTGGTCATGATCACGTTCTGGACAGAATTTGTGAAATTATTTGGTTTAACATGAATGAAAACAGTCTTTTGAAGAATTTCTTTTAGCTAGATTGTTTCACCAACCTGTTGTAGAGTTCTGCTGCATGGGTAGGTGAATGCATATAATTGAGGAATGTGCAGGGCAGAGTGAAGGTGGAATCAAATGAGATCTGTTCAGTTGGATCTGCAGCCTTTCGTGTCCCACAAGGGTAGTTTTTAGAGGGTTCTACAGACAGGCCAGGAATCACTGTCCATAGCATCTCTTTTCTGCCACTGGATCACAATTCAAGTTGTGATCACATCAGCTGTTAATGACTGCACTGGAGTGCACCCTGCTTCGAGCAGGGAGAGCTGTGGAACAGACAGGAGAACTGTCCCAGAGCAAGCAGCAGAAGTGGCCTTGTCCCACTGCAGCATGGCCACTGAGCGAGGATGGGAACTGAGAGGGAGGAAAGTCCATCAGGGAGGAAAGTCCATCAGGGAGAAAGGGGATGGTTCCTCATGCTCTGACTTGTGACTCCTTTGAAGCTCGTTTGGAAGGAGTTGGTGTCTCCTGACTAGTGCAATGAAGGACTTCAGAGTGGTGGGAATCCACAGCAACAGGAGGAATGTGAGGGGCCTGCATATTATGTCTTACATAAATTAAAATAGTATACTCATTTCATGTGCTTTTTTTTTAAGGTTAAATCACCGTATGTAGACTGCCAAAACTTGAACAACAGACAAAAGCTACCCTTTTTTGACCTTGTAAATTTGGGATAGTCTCGTGTTTTGGATGGGGAGAGAGAAGAGAGACTGACAGTTCCAGTTGAAGGCTCATTTTTTCAACTTTTAGGGCTCATAGTGTTTTAAGTGCCATACAATTTTTTTTTTTTTGAAGGGTGGATCTTCTCTATAGGTACATGACTGGCTGCAGGAAATTGTAAACTAGTGCTCACAGTTGCCAAGCCTGTCTCATTTGAGTGGAAGTCTGTACATTTCTATAAACTTCTCGAGCTTAATATAGAGTAGGACACATTTGGTCAGAGCTGTGAGGAGTAAGTAGGGCAGGGAGAACAGTTTTGCACCTGGAGAGCTTTTCAGCCTTCAACAAAAGAATATATATTTAATGTATTTTAAAATACATTGACTAAATTGGGAGAAGAGGTACAAACTGATAGTGCTGCATGAGAACAGCCCCTGTTCTGTTGCAGGTCTGAAGAAGCTGAGTGAGAGCAGCAAGTTTAGGGGCAGAATGATTTATCTTTGTACCTCTTGGTTTTCTTGTGTGTTTTGTTTTGTTGTCATGCCCACTTCAACAGGTGCCTGGTGTAAATTTGCCTGTCAGCCAGCTGACCTATTTCTTCTCTGCAATCCTCATCAGTGGTGTGATACATGAAGTCGGCCATGGGGTGGCAGCTATTCGGTAATACAAATTACTTTTCTCTTACTATGTGCCAACAAAACCTAATATTCCAGAGCATTTACCTACAGGTGAATGTTGTTAGCACTTCTTTGATTTATCTAGAGAGTCTGTTTATTCTGTATTTCATAGCTTTCTTAGATTTTAAGTTTGGAAGGGTGTACAGTTAAGGATACAGTTTTAATACAGTGTCTTGTTCTGCAGATCATGAGAAAGAAGTTCTGCTTTGCAAATATACTACACTGCATCAGGTTTAAAATAACACTTCTTTTAAGTGCTCCTGTTTTTCACACAGCAGTTGCATTTCTGCAGCTGTGACACTTGAAGAGGACCCATGTGCTCTTGCACAATAGTACTTTAAAATAGATTTTAAATTGATTTGTTTAAACATTGCTTGTGAAGTAGCATATGAACAGGCTGAATTGTAGAGCCATAGAATGGTTTGGGTTGGAAAGGACCTTAAAGATCATGTAGTTCCAACCTCCCTGCCACAGGAAGGGACGCATCTTCCCCCAGATCAGGTGGCTCAAAGCCTCATCCAGCCTGACCTTGAACACCTCCAGGGATGGGGCATCCACAACTTCTCTGGGCAACCTGTTCCAGTGTTTCACCACCCTCACTGTAAATAATTTCTTCCTTTGATCTAGTCAAAATCTATCCTCTTTCAGTTTAAAGCCATTGCCCCTTTTCCTATCACTACAAACGCTTGTAGAAAGTCCCTCTCCAGCTTTCTTGTAGGCCCCCTTTAGATACTGGAAGACTGCTATAAGATCACCCCAGAGTCTTCTCTTCTCCAGGCTGAACAACCCCAACTCTTTCAGCCTGTCTTCATAGGAAAGCAGTAACTCAGGCAAATGCGATTTGCCCTTATCAACCTCAGTGATGTGTTAATTTTGATCAAAGATGATATTTTTAATGTCACTTAACTATGATAATTACTTCACAAAAAGTTATTTGGCATGTTTAGTCATTACTGTTAAATGACGCTCTAGCATAAGAGGGTTAAGTGGTGGTTACTGGGACTGATATTCAAGTGTCCTCTGCATTTCTCTTGGACATCATCAGTATCTGTCCCATGAGCATGAAGATTGAAATTTTTTCTCTGGTTTTCTTGAGTGTAGAAAGTCCTGACTGCATCTTAACTAATTTCTACCTTTTTTATAACCCCAAAAGTTTTCAGTTAAAGGGGAGGTTTGGGACCCTCTGTGTTTCATATACTCTGTTTATCTTTCAACTTTTTTCCCCTAATATTCACAGGGATTTTTCTGTGAAGGATGAAGCTCTTGCCCTTGCTCATCCCACCACAGGAAGAAGCAACAAAATTTCTTTTCTCTCAGTGCCTTCACATGGTGCTGGCTAACTGCAGAGAAGCCAGGAGTAACTATAGAGTTCTTTTTAAGCAGAACGAATAATTCTTATACCTTAGTGGTGCGATATCTTCATTCAAGATCCAGAGCAAAGGCCCTGAATATTCAAGCTTGGGTTATGTTTTTGTCAAAAAATTGATTCCCAGCTATTTCCAGGGGGAAAAGTAGTTTGTCCAATGTACATGGCTGTTGCTGCTGCTGTTTTCTACTTGATTTTTTTTTTTCCTCTTGCTAGCACAGGTTGGATCTGTAACCAACTCTCATGATTTAGGCTTTACTAAATAGCTGTGCTGTGAGCAAATTTTTTTATTTTGTAAAGTCGCTTAGACTCACTGAAATCTAATACACTTTTGCCAACTTCAGTTCAAGATAGTATTGGCTGTGAACTGCAAAAGCTTAAAATATTTAAGCCTTAGCTTAGTTAAAGCTTGTGTCGAAAAAACCTTTTTCTTCTTCTTTCTGTACCTCCTACCCAAGTCATGAAATCATGTAGAGGCATTGGACTGCCTAATACTAGTTGGTAGCGTGGGTAGGTCTGATGAGTTAACTCCAGGGAAATAATGTATTACTTCATTCTGATTAATTTTGTATAATTGTGTCTTCTGTTGTTGTATATGTGCAATAAATAAATATGAATAACTAAAGTACTATGCCCAGTGTACTGTCTCAGTAAAGATATGGGATTAGCTGATAGTGCCTGGTTTCTCTGGGAACATGATTGTCTTGGAATAATAATTGGAATGTAATTGTCTTGGAAAATCATTGTCATGCCTCTGTAAGTCTCTTACGAAATTTCTAGCTTCATAAAACCTTTACATAGTTATTCCAAAAAGTGCCATTTAAAAGCAGTTGCATAACATCTGGAACAAAAATATATATATGATCTGTATGATAGTGTCAGCTACTAATATATTTAAATAGCATTTGTCCTTTTAATCTCTTGACGTGTTTTCATTTTTTCAGATGACGTTTACCTCATTTTTGTTAGCTTACAATTCCCTTTAAATTTCATTTAGAAGAAACAGTCTGTAAGTCTTTCTTTAAAAGAAAAGCGATTTGGTCTTCCAGATAATTCTTCATAGATTAGTTTGAAACTGCATCCTACAGGCTGCCATTTTTTTTACTTAAAAGAAAAAATCCCCCAAATGTTAAAATATACGTTAACTTGAAAGTAAGTTTTTTTTAAAAAAAAGTGTTTTATGTGTTACTATTACCAGGAGACAGAAAAGAAGTTGAACGTATCCTTTATTTTTTAGCGACTCACAAATGCATGCTACTTAAAAGTGGCAACTACTGCAGAAAATATCCTTTAATTATCTTTCAATTATTCATATTATGAAAAATAATTTAGTTTTAGAATTATAATTTTAGTTATTCTCATAGTCAAAAATATGTGTGCTATGTAGAATCTCTCACTTTTTCATTTGTTTGTTTGCAGTAACACCACTTCATTTTTCTTTTCTTCTCTTTAAGAGAACAAGTACGATTTAACGGATTTGGGATTTTTATCTTCATTGTCTATCCTGGAGCATTTGTTGACCTCTTCACAACCCACTTGCAACTGATATCTCCAGTCCAGCAATTAAGGATATTTTGTGCAGGTGATAGTTTGTGCTTTTTTGTTAAATCTTTGTTTAGCATAGTTATTTATTCTACGGGCATCATTTGTGAATCCTTGATGGGGGATTGAAGGTTTAAAATGGAGAAGTACAAAAGCTTCTCTTTACCTAAAAGTGATCCTGTTCTGAACCTAAATTGTCATTTCAGGAAATCATGTCGTTACTGCCCATATTATGCTGTTTTCTGGAGGAGAGACATCAGTTCCTGGGAGCTTAAATGAGTACCAATTTCATGTCACAAAAAATGTTACTCTATCCTAGATTTGATTTAGAATAGTTGTGTATAAGAAAAATGGGGAAAAAAATGTGAAAAAAATGTGATTTCTGACCTTCTTCTCTCATTAGAAAAAGCTCTTACAGCAGCTCAGGAGCAGAAGTTCCTTTGTCTTTTTTTTTTGTCTTTTTTTTTTTTTTTTGCATATTGTATGGCCTAAGTAGCAAAGCCTTGGAGCACACAAGCTGTAAAATACTCAGCCAGAAGACAGGTGGCATGATAACATGAACGCCCTTGAGCAATTCACTGCCATTTTCTGCAACAGGAACGATCTATTATGTGATTTTCAATAGTATTGTGAGTGAGTTTCAGTGACGTGTGAGTTATATTATTATACAGGTCACTGTGATTTGATATTGCCATCAGGAGGAAATAAAGGCTAAACCACAAACATCCAAAGAGAATCACAGTTTATGGCTCCAAATAACCTCCAAATGTTTTTCATTTGATGTTTTTTGAAGTCTCTGGCTACAGGGATGTAGAGGCCTGTTGCTGGGGAAAGTTACACTGAGACTGTGTTATGCTACCTGAACTGCTTCTATTATTGATTTCTAGAGACAAAGGTGGTTCCCAAACTACTGAAATAAAGATAGAAAAGTTAGCATCTTGATTTAGTTCTTGATACTGATGATTTTCTGTTGCAGGGGACAGTAGGACAGCAGCCAAACTGTTGTACTGTTTAAACGCTAACATTGTTTCTCAAATATTGTAAACAAAACATTGTAAAGAGGGTATTAAGCTGGGCATACAGAAGCCTTTAGCAAAGCGTATTTTCAAGCTTTCATAGATCAGGTAAATGATAATAAACGCTAGGTAAGTAAATATATCTATATTCCAAATACGCTAATGAACCAAAATCATTCACTGCAATAGGCTAACTTTTATGAAGCCCCGTTTCTCAAATTAATCAATTTCCATTTCCAGCTGCTGTGAACAGAAGAGAAGACAATTTTCAAAATGCGTTACTTCCATATATTCCTGAGAAATCATCTAGAAAAATAAGATGATAAGGTGTAATAGAAAATAGTTGCTTGCATGTTTTTGATGACAAGCAAACACCTATAATAACTTTTCATGTTTCTTGGGAAACATGAAATAGGGGAATGCAAGGTAGGAACAAGGATATTGCAAGACTGGTTAGCAGCAATGGCTTGTTATCAGTTAGGTATAACAAATATATGCTTTTTCTTTTTTTACAGCTAACGATTGGTATGTTTCAGAACTAAGATGTTTGATAATGATAAAATGTGATATTCAGTAAATTTGACTCCCGTTTTTCTTAATTTTCAGAGCAGTTGAATGAACCTGTTCTCAGTGTTTTCAAGATCTGAGTTTTCAGACATGCTTTCATGTTTTTGTACGGCAGCTAAGAGCCAGAGTAGAGACTGACACTGAATATGCCTTACGTAGTCTACCTATACTCTGGAGATTAAAGAGTATATTTGTTGCACAGCAGATGGCATCGTGAGTTCAAGAATAGCGAATGAGTGTTCTTGGAAGACTTGTGATATTTTTAGCATTAATTCCATGCCTAGTAGATGAAAAGTGCATTTGTGCAGCACTTTCTTATAATGCTTTTCCATGAGATATGAGTAAAAAATATAGAAAGAGAAATCACCTTAAGAAGCATCTACTAGTGGAAATGGCAACAAACCCTTAGTTAAAGTACTCCAAAAATGTCTCTCATTTCTGCAGCATTAGAAATGTAAAAGAAGACCAGGTGACATTTAGAGATAGCCAGGGGAAATAAGAGTCTGCCATATGTTATGATTCCTGTGTTATATACATTGCGAGAAAGATAATTTTAAAATGTTTTTAAATGTATTTACTTCAGTTCCCGTTCTGTAACTGCACTGTAAATATAGCATTGAATCAAACCCTTCATAACAAGATGAAGCGCTGTAAGAAGGAAATAAGGAGTCTTCAACATTGAAAAGTTTTCCTGCGTTGGTCATACAAACTGTTTGTCCAAGAACACAAATTAAATGAGAAAATTTGTATAGTACTGGATGTTAAAGGAAGCCAAGTGTGTCTTATGATAGTGGTTCATTTATTCCCGTGGAGAGCAGCATACTATAAAGATTGCGGTTGCAAATACGTTGCCCAGAATAATGTGTCAGGAAATGCGGATTGCCCAACTTAGTTTCTTGATGTGGTTTTAGGTCCAGATTTTCTCATAAAAGAAGCCGTTTTTCAAATAATTTTCTAAACTTGTTTGGCACATAGGCGTGTAATTATTTTCATTGATACGATGGAGATAACTATGAAAAATACTGAATTGCAACTAAGTTTCAGACATCTTGCTGACTAGGATAAACAGTATTTATTCACATATAAGCCCATCTGTTAAGATTCTTAAATTCAACAGTTTATTGTGGTAGAAGGTGACAAGCAATACATTTCATTCCACTAGTTTTTTAATATTTATGATTGATGACAACTTTGTAGATAGAAACTGTAGTTTAATAATTTATTCAGAAGCCCAGTTTTTCTTCTACATACTTAGAAAAGTAGTGTTATGTGATGAAATACCAATATGGTAGAATGACACCTTAAAAATAGATTTATCACTTCCCTGTCTTTTCTGATAGTATTCTCAGAGGCTCAGAGGCCTCTCTAAAACTCTTCTACAAAGTGACATCACAGAAACTTAAGCTTGTGACGTAATATACGTATTCTTCTTCCATGCCTGTTTTCACAAATCAAGTTTTCATCCATTCTTACAGTAACTATTTCAGGAAAGTTAATTAGAAGGTAACTGTAGAATCTCATATTTCAAAACCACCTTTTTGTTATTAGTGGTTATTTAGAAACATGATGTTTTTTCTTCTTTTTAGGAGTGTGGCATAATTTTGTTCTTGGTGCTGCAAGTTTCATTGTTTTGTTTCTGCTGCCAGCCATTCTTTTCCCTTTCTATTACACGGGTGTTGGAGCACTCGTCACTGAGGTCGCAGAGGTAAGAAAAGACCTTTACTGTTTTCATATTACATACTTTGTAACCTGAAATATACTCGTGTCTCTTATTATCACAATCAAATTTGGTCAGTGCAGCACTCTGCAGAATCTAATCTCTTGCACTTTTTGTCTACTTAAAGTTTCCGTCTCAGTCTCATGTTTTTTTAGTATTAGTAAATGGCATGACTGTTTGCAGGCTTATTTCTGTTGCGTTTTTTTAACTTCTTTTCAATATTGGCACCAAGTAAATCTACTGGAACTGCATTATCATGCTAGTTATTGCTATCTGGTTTTAATGTTAAAGATTATTTTGAGCTGATTTCCTTGCTTGTTTGGTCAGCTGGAAGCAAATTACAGATAGACTGCTGAGTTTCTGGAAAGGACTGATTTTTTTCTGACTTAATCAAATACAGCACAGTTGTAGAGCTGAAAGGAGCTGAAAGGATTCAGTCTTTCTTGGATCTAAAAGTGCACTGATATAACTCCGGAGGAGAGTGACATTTATTATGCTTTATATCTTTGAAAGTATAGATACACTCTGCTTTGTTGAAAGATTCAAGGTATTAATTTAAACTTCTTGGTCTTAAAATGGTAGGAAAAACCACAACATTAACTTGTATGAAAATAATTACTTAAATTTGAAGAGGTCTCCCAATACACTTGGACATTTGCTCTTTTCTTTTCTTTTCTTTTCTTTTCTTTTCTTTTCTTTTCTTTTCTTTTCTTTTCTTTTCTTTTCTTTTCTTTTCTTTTCTTTTCTTTTCTTTTCTTTTCTTTTCTTTTCTTTTCTTTTCTTTTCTTTTCTTTTCTTTTCTTTTCTTTTCTTTTCTTTTCTTTTCTTTTCTTTTCTTTTCTTTTCTTTTCTTTTCTTTTTCTTTGCTCTAAATAAGTTTTTATTTGTAGAGGATGTTTGTTTTGTAATGCTCTATCATAAGTTGAAATAATCAGTTCTAGTGGAGCTGGAGATTTTCTCTTTCTCTGGAAATAGTGTCTTAACCTAAAGATTTCATGGCTATTTGGCAGAACTATAAACAAATCCTTGAAGTTTTAACCGTAACAATATGACTGACTTCACTGTTTCTTCTCAGGATTCTCCTGCCAATGGACCAAGAGGTCTTTTTGTGGGAGACCTTGTCACTAACCTACAAGACTGCCCAGTCTATAGTGTGGAAGACTGGAATTCCTGTCTGGGAGACATTTCAGAGAAGTCACAGGTCGGCTACTGTATAAGTGCAGCCACCCTACAGCAATTAAGCTTTCCAGCTAGAGGTATGACTTTAGGTGCTCTCTCCATTATTTTATATTGTAATTCTATCATATCTTAAAGACTCTTTTGGATTTAGGATTTGTTGGTGAGAATGGGTTTCTCATAAGTCAAGTCTGCTATCCTGTCTTAAGCTGTGACCAATATGCCATTCATTTTTTTGAAATCTGAAAGTAAGGAAGAGGTAGATAGAAGAATTTCTCTGGTCTTCCAGTCATCCTATACAAATATCCTGTATGATCTGTATAATGACATTTGCCTCTTCAGGATATCGCATAGCTTGGTTATTAGCAGTAATACATTTATCTCCTCTATTTTTAGTTCAGTTATATGGATCAGCTCAGTGATCTTTTGCAGATGTAAATTCCACACATTACCTTACTGCTTTGATCAGCATGACATTACAAATTGTATGGCTTAACCCAATGACGTGCTTTATTATGGCTACTTCTTCTGATGTGTCTCACTATATGGGTTTTATATTGCAATTGCGTCTTCAACCTCACAGCACCATTGCTCATAAACTTAGTTTTGTGTGAGTCGCACATAGTGCTTCTAGAAGTCAGTATGTTTCTTTCTGTTTTCATTTATACATAGACTGCTTGTTGCTGTAACAGCTTACCCTTGAAAAACAAAAAAAAATGTGAACTGAACTAAACTAGAAGAATAAACAAAAGTTAAGTAGAATAAAAAAGAACAGTCAAGTTAAATTGGCTTAATGTCTTGTGACATGCCCTAAAGCTCTCTAGAGTTTGTTTCATGCAGGCGCCCATGGAGACTGAATTCCAAAGGTAAGGGGCTGCTGCTGAGCAAAACCCATATGATGGTATTCAGAGCTTTAAAATTGTCACTGCATTTTTTCATCATAATGGAAGTAAACAGGAGATCAGACAGCTCGACTACCCATGTTTTTTGATGCATTATAGTGCTCTTGTGAGATTGTAATAATTTTTTTTTAGTATGTAAGGAATGTAATCTTACATCTGGAATTAAGAAAATTATTTAAACTCGAAATTAGCAGAGTATGGGTAAGATCCTACTTTTAGAGACCTAACAGTTTGGATTATCCCTCTGAAGAGGGGGGCAATTTTGGCACATGCTTTCAGCTGGGCAGAGATGGCAAGTAAGAACCAATTCTTAGATGCTGGTAGATACACATGCTTACATTCTGCTGTTCCCTGTTCTGCAGTTTCAGGACTCATGGATAATAAAAGTGCATATTCTGCAACTGAACCAGTCCTATTTAGATGGAAATACTAGAGACTTAGTACTAGAGACTCAATATTGCTTCCAAGTTTGGTTGCTGCATTGTGTTAACAGCCCATTGTCCCACTGCTGCATTCTAATCAGACCAGTCTGTCTGCGTTTTCAGAGCCATAAGCCTCCAGCAGTGAGAAATATTCCTCTGAAATTAAATGAACTCTGTTCAGTCTCTCGCAGCTGTCATTTGTCAAAATCTTGACAGTTCACAACTTGACATATATACAGAATATCAATAAAAATGTATCTAGCAAATGGACCCTATCTACTTGACCATAAAACAAATGGAGAGTAAACTATTTCAGTATGAGGCTAGACAGAAAACAATGCCCCCAAGGACCTCCCTGAAATTAAAAAAAAAAAAAGTGGTTTCAATGTAGTTTATAAGGAAACTAATTTCATGGTCATTCTCTATTCAAAATTATATGTGGTTGTTTAGCCTCAAGGTACTTGAAAAAAGGATCATACGGTACAGTGCTTGCACCTGTAAGCCCCAGGCATAAAGCTGCATGTTAGTGGACTGCAGATTAGGCAATGATAAATCACTAACCAATATCACAGGCTTGATCTGCCTAAGGAAGATACTGCAGTGTTGCTGTGACGTGGATTCTTGGAGTGACTATTCTTCTGTGGGTTTTTTTAAAGCTGTTGTTGTAGAGTAAGTTAGGTTTAATTCATTTAAAAACATCTGTACAAAGATTCTGTACCAGACTAGTTCATCACAGTTTAAAACATCATGTATTCACTGCTGCAGCCTTCATGGCTTGGAAAGCTTTCGAAACCTAAATACTTGCAAAGGCTTTCACGTTTTAAAGAGGAAATTTTGAGTCTTGGTCGTTTCCATAGCCAGCCAGTGAAATCAGTACAGTAGCAGATAACAAATTTCTATGCAAGTTGGGGGCAATGGATAAAAGTATTTTGTAACTCAAAATGCTCTGAACACCGCAGTGGTACATCTCCAGAATCTCAGAAAGATTTATTAAGATGAAAAAATCAGTATGTGACGTGACTGATATCAGGTGACATTCGCACGCATAAGCGGCGAAGCTTATTTTCAGTTGTGACTGAACCACAGCTAGGCTCTGCAAATTACTATAATTCTTGAAGGCTACAGAATGATTGTTTTACTTTATTCAGAGAGTAAGGTATTTTCAAGAACTTACTGTAACATTGATCATTTGCTCTATGCCTATGTTCTTTAGTCTATAGAAGACTCGATGGCACAGTTGAATGTTGTAGTAACAACAGCCTCACAGACATTTGCTTTTCATATAGCAATAACTTGGACAGCCACCTGGTAAGTTACTTAAATTGCTAACTCTATTTGGTAAATCTGAAATTATTTAAATTAAATTAGTAATATTTACCAACATTTATGCAGCATACTCAATTGCTTAAGAATACACACAGTCTGTAATAAATGTGTATGTGTACGTTATTCTTCCCATTTACAGCTTAAAAACCCCAAAATACTAGTTATGATTTTCCCATGATCAGCTGGTCTCTGGAAAAAACAGAAAAGATCTTATACCTTTAATTCCTTTAGGCAGAAAGACACCTCTCCCATTTTCACCACAGGATGCAGAATATTGGCAAGAAGAAACAGCTTTTGAGAACAAGGTGAAATTGGTTATTTTGGTGCTTCAGTCTCTAAAGGTACTGAGCACTACAGACAAAGCAAAGCACTGAACTATCTGTTCAGTTATTTTGTCTGAAGCCAGCAGTGCTGCTCACTAGGTTAATCTAAAAACATGCAAGAGAAAGTCATAGCAATTGCCCAGTTTCTCAAAATCAGGGCCTCTATTTGATTCCTTTTTCACCATGTTGATTTTCTCGTAACATGTGGAAACATAAAGTTTCTCAGTAGGATTTTGACTTACTTTCTTCAAAATACAGAAATCTTTGTTAGAATACGTGATCCATATTGACAGTGATGGAATATTTCTAACATCTCTCTTTACAAGAAAGAGAGCACAAGTAACAACTGTGTAAACTTTTCTACACATACCAGTTTATTATTTTCTGACCTCTAGTGATAAATACCTAAAGAACTGGAAATAAGTCTGTTCCTACATCTGCTATGTTTACAGTTTCTGCAGCGGTAGACTTGCCACTCCAGGGTGTTTTTGTGGTATTTAACCACTAAGAATTGAGCACAGACCAGCAGCTTGTTTGAAGTATGACCAGCTGGTAACATCCTGGAGATCTGCAAGATTTGATAAATCACTGCCCCACTGAGCTTTGACATTCTTAAGCTCATAGCTGCGTCTTAGGAACGGAGAAGAAATAAAAGCATTCAGAAGCCTGTGACCTTCAAGTGTCCTTAGATTGGCTGTGAGTTTTGAACAATTATTTTCAGTTGTCTTTGCAGTGCTATGCAGCAGTATTTGAAAGCATGCCCTCTCCCCCTCATTAGAATAGAAAGAGATTGTATTGAGTTTAATGGAGAGCGTCTGACACACTTGCGTCTGTGGGAAATGTAACTATCAGGCTGAGAAACAAGAAAATCTTTTTATTTTTTCCCCCTGAGGCGAACAGTAGATGAAGAACTTTCCTTGCTTGTGTTTAAGAACAAAAGGAAAATTATCACTGAGCTTTTACGAGAGACATGAGTGGGAAAAACAATTTCCTGTTCCTTTCCGCTGTATTCTCTTTGGCCTGTGGAGTGCATGAAAGATCTGATCTTTCAGACTGGTGAGTGAAAGAGTGTTATAGGTAGGATTTGGGACATAGCACTGTGTTAAGTCCTGTGTTCATCTTAGTTGAGAATGGTTTCTTAGCTATCACACAGCTGGTAGGTTTTCTGGTCTGTTTGCTGAACATAAGATTTTGTTCAGCCAACAGGTTTTAGAGCAATGAAGACTAAAACTTCTTAAACAGGTAAGCCACTAGTATGTTGACGCAGGCTCTGTTCATTAGAAATCACTGACTTATGTTTAGATGCCTTGATTTTTGTTGTGCACGTGTGTACCTTTTTAAAAATAGCTTTTATTTTGGTACATGTGCACACCCTCTCGTCCACATTCCACCAAAAATGGAATGGTGGGTTGAATATGTATCAGGCAGAGGTTCTGCAGGATTTGACAAAAACCCTCAGAAATTGGATTTCGACTCTTCATGGACTGTTAGTATATCAGTGAGGCACTTCCTTAGTACCTTTTTCCTGGCCTGTTGGAAATACCTTTGAGTTTGATAATCATTTTGAATGCCCTTTGCAGTATGCCTGTCTGCCAGCGCGAAAAGTTATTGAGGCCAGCAAAGTTTGTCGAACCAACACAGACTGCCAGAAGGACTTTGTTCCAAGCTTGTGTGTGACTCCTTCTTTAGAGAACCAAACAAGGCTAATCAGGGTAAAACATCCACCTCATATTGACATGCTGTATGTAGGACACCCCATGCATCTTCAGTACACAGGTTGGTATTACTTTTTAAAACAGCTTAACAAAAAAGATTTCTAATATGGTTTACTTTGCCTGGCTGCTTGAACAAGGTCTTGGAGCACTTGTCGGTTAACTTGTTTAATGCAGAATCCATTTCTTGTTACAGCCAGTGGAGAGACATGGACTACTCAGGCCTAAAATGAAATGTGCACAGTGCAATGAGTTACGAAGGTAATAGAAACCATATGTGATATGAGATAGTTGTTTTTTTCAGAAAAGTATGGAAGGGCTATTTCTATAACAGATCTCACTCGGGTTAGTCATGGGAACCAGGCACCTGGATTTTCCTAACACATAAACTTCTCGAAATGCTATTGTAAAATCTCTAGGGCATCTTGTTCTAACACCTTGCCTGGAATATTAGCATGACTGCTTAAATCACACCTAATATCCAAGTGTCTGTGACAGATTCCCATGACTACTGAGCCACAAGTACATTCACAGCATAGTTTTTCCTGATTATTTTTTTTATTTATTTGAGTGCTCTAAATTAAATAGCATATAACAGTTTAGTTCCTTACTTAGAAATAGACCACGGCTCTCCTTTAGTCAAGCTTATTTCCTTGAGCCAGGTATGCAAGTAAAAAGTACTTCTGCTCTTGGAACAAGTATGGAAAGAATGAACAAACTCATCTACATTCCTACTCGGTAGCTTGAGTGGCATGGTGAAAATTAGCTTCAGATGGGCTTAAACAAGTATAAAGTGTTGAACCACTGTCCCTTCCTGTGAGGAATTTGTCTGTTCCTCACAGATAGCTATACCTTGCAGGAGGAGATTCTGCTTCTGACATCTTGAAGTACCTCCTAGCAAAGCATTGTATTTCTCTGAATAAGCACTGGAATTAGATACAAAAGAGCTATAGAAACAGTAGTGAAATCTGGTAGAGTAAATCCATTAGCGTTCTCACATAAACATATTTTTAGTTAATCTGTCAGTCTTTATCTTTCTGTGCTGGTCATATTTTGATACTCTGTGACAAATTATCTATTTCTACTTGTTTACTCCATACCCTCATTTAAGCCAAAAATATGATCTCTTCACTTGTTACTTCTGCCCTCTTGCCATTTGGGAGGAAAAACATCGTTCACCTGTATATCAATACACAGTTCTATATTTGATGACATCTATTCCAAATGCAGCAACAAATTTTAAGAATACAGTTTGATAATTATTTTAAGTTCTCTCTCTTAGTCTCTAACAATACAAACTGTAGGTACTCTAGAACAATTGATACTGTTCTCTTGTCCAATATGTTGAAGCAATGGAGTTTTAGTCAGTATTTCCTACTGAACAGTAATTCTGCAAAACAATCGAACCTGTCAGTCTTTCAGAAGTCAGAAAAGAATGTTACTGCATCTAAAGAGGTAGTTCTGCTTTAAGAAGTTACTGTGTGAAAATACATTTTACAATGTATTTACAGGTATATAATTCTAAAGTGATTTACTGTACCCTAGGCATTGAATATTGAACGTGCTAATTTGAAAGCTAAAAGCTTGACTTTATTACAAACTTTGCTGCAAATGCAACCTATGATCCCTTTGGAAAAACACCAGAGCTAAAATTGTAGGATCCTGGCTTGGGCAGCAGGTAGTCTACTGTACCATCATACAATTCCATGCATTCCAGTGAAACAACTTCTAAATATTTCAGACTTAACTTTGCGTTGTACAATACTGGAGCCAACAGGTTTGATTTTTTTTTCCAAATGTGACTGATCATAATGTGGTAACCATTTTTTCAGTTAAGAAAGGAAAAGAATTTCTTCCTCTACGGTGTGACTTTTGAAATAGGAATAAGTTTTAGTGAAATGCATTATTCTTTACTTTGATCTTTCTGCTTGCAGGAAACATTACTTTTTAGAGTAGTGCCACATTTAACACACAACCTAAAATGGAAGTTTTACTACTGCGTACTATGACTTTACTTTCTCTAGTAACGTCACTAAAGTAATGTTTGAAAAAAATTCTGGGATTATGCATGTATTATTTTCTACATAGGCCTGTATTATTGTCATGATAGTCCTGATTTATGTAATTATTTCATATTTTCATTTGAAGATAGCTTCCAGATATAATATTTTTAAAAATTCATATCCATATTAGCTATTTACAAGAAAAAGGCTATACAGCTTACTTCTGTGTTTGTTTCCTCAAAGTAAAATATCCTAGCAAAAATATTTTTTGTTGATATTGATACTATATATCACTCTTGTTTCCAGTATAAAAAAAAACTATAAAGAATCACACTCCTAAATGAACTTACAGTGCTGGAGGTTTTGCCAAAACTAAACCAGAAGAAATTATTAGGAATTTATGTTGTTTAGGATGGACACATTGAGTAACTTTTTGAATTAGCATTCTCTCTGTAAAAAGTATCTACTGTAATCCAATATAAATTCATACTGTGGGTTTAATTCGTGTGTTACTACTCAAGACTTTTAGCCTTTTCTTATTGCAGGGCAGTTATGCTCTAGAGTCTCTCCCTATGTGAATGATATGCTATGTGAAGTTGAAACAGAGGGCTCTGTCATTATTGCCATGCAACTTTGCAGTGTTTCTTCTTCATTTTGTATGGGTTCTTTTATTCCTTCATGTCAGTTCTACTGCAAAATCTTGGCTTCCTTCTCTGGCCCTGTTGGTTGGGAAGAATCTAATGAGTAACATTCATATTTGGAATTCACACTGCTTGAGGGAAGATCGTATCCCTGAATGTTACTGTATCTGCATCACCCATCCAGGATCAAAACCTGCGAGATTTCTTTCATGAGAAGAAGATGGAACTTACCTAAAAGACAATTTCCTCAAACGGGACCAGTCTCCTACTTCTGTTTTATCCAAGTCTTCTGAAAAAAAAACCACTTCCTAGCTTTGGGGAGATATTTGGGCAGCAACCCCCATAATCCCTGATGAAGATCTGTTAGAGTCTGGTTTCTCAGTATTTCCGTGCTTGTTTCCCCTTATTGCTGAGGATGATCCTTCTTTGCTTTCGACCCATATCTAAAGGGTTACATGTATAGTTATTCTGGAGACCACACAAATATCTCATGCTGTACTCTTTCCTTCATAGCATATATGCTGTTTCCCCTGTGAAGAGGTTTTGAAAAGCTCTTTGGTCAACCTAGTCTCCAAATCACTTCTAATTAAAGTTGTGTCCATTGTGCATTCTTCTCAATATTTGCCAACACCATCTAGCATTAGCCAACAAAAGAAATGTTAATTCCAGGTCAAAGAATTGTTTAGAGTGGGAAAACAATGACTGTTTTCTCTTATCCAGTCTCATTGCTGTTCACCTCTTCCCAGCAGTATCTTTTGAAGACAAGCCTGGAGAACATAATTTCTGTAGTTCTTTTCTTGTTCCTCGAAGGAGGGATTTGCCTGCTGCCATTAGGTTTATCCATTACAGCCACTAAATTCATTGCCTTGTACTACAGTGTCTAGAGCTCAGTCCAGCAACTTCTTGAAGAGTTTTTTTTTGTGTTTTGGTGATTGCTTCACCTTCAGGAGCAAGGTTTGGGGTTTAGATCCGTGTCTAGTGGCTGTCAGGAGCAGCAGACAGTTCATTGTAACAAAGAGAGGAGGACATGAGTGATCCATTCTGAATGTAGGCACGATTTCAGGTTCAGGATGGTGACTGTTAGCGGCCATTAGGTGTTTGTCAAGAGGCAGTCAAGCTTTGAAATTACACTATATTGAAATGTGTGTCTTTTGAAACCTTTGAATACACTGGCTGCCTCAGCCATTTTGCTATTTTGGCTCGTGAACAAGAGACCTGATCAGATGTTCGGATGCCAGCCTTCAGCTTGATGAGTTGTTTACTTTGGATATCACTTGACTTGGATGCCTCTGACTTTCAGCTGAGTGACGTCCAGGATTTCTGTCTGTTATGTTCTTCACGCAGTAGTCCAACAGACTTATTTATTTTCTCTCAGTTCCCCTAAATAAAATGTCTTTCTTAAGCTGAGGTAAGAGAGAACATGATTTTCAAGCTGTCTTGGCACAGCTGCAGCAGTTTTGGTATTGGAAAGTTCCCTGCTTGTTGCCACACCAAAACCATTCTTTCTTTGGGCCTCCTTGCTCTCCAAATCTCTCCATCTCATGGTATGCTTGCTAGTTGTACTAATTATCCCTTCTGACTCATTCATTAATAGAGGGCCTCTATTAACAGAAGAAAATGTTTCTCTGTAACTGCGTGGACCAGTTCTCTGCCTCATATGCCTTTGGAACTACTTTCCCCTTTTTTTTGGTTCCAGTGTCCTTGAATTGTTTATTGAACCTGAAGAAATCTGATTTCACTCTTAACTAAGACATACTTAGTATTTTTGGTCTGTTATGTACTAGTGCTGAGGTTTCCAGTGTTCTTTTAACCTATGGTTTTAAAATTTGTCAGAGAGTGGGTTAAATTGTTCTTCTCCCAAGGGATGTTTGTATTAAGTGAGATTTGAGCTCTTGCTTTTACATATCTCTGTGGAGACAGTGTTTCTTCTGGCTATAACTTTTTCCCAGATTGGTAGGGAAAATTTAGGCTGTTGTGGCTGGCTTCAACTCATGTTCAGAGTTGTTCCTTAGGGGCAGAGTAACTATTGTTGATACTGTGCAAGCTAATTCTTAAGGTGATTTTCTAATTCTGCCTTAATTTACCTAAACCTCTTCCTTCTGGGGTTAAGACTCCACTGTGCTATGAGCAGAGCCTTCTAGTAGGAAAGGTGTCTCTCTTCCAGCTGTTGCAGAACTAAGGCTTTCAAACAGTCCCTGGGCTGGCAGACTGAGACTGCAGTTTACTTTGACAGACTACGTCAAGACTTTTTATGAGACAACGTGGATGGAGAATCCCAGAGTGCACTCTGAAAGGTCTCAAGCTACCTCAGTTTTCATTGAGGAGTCTCTCATAAACATTTGACATGCAGTCAGCTGAAGCTTCGTGTACACCTTCAAAGAAGTTACAGTACTAAAGAAATGTTTCAAGGTCATATGGTGCTTGACACTGCAATTTTTCAGTCACTATTTATATCATAGAATCATAGAATGGTTAGGGCTGGAAGGGACCTTCAAAGGTCATCTAGTCCAACCCCCCTGCAAGGAACAGGGATATATGAAGGATGCTGAGTCCTACCTCCCAGGTTTATAAGTTGCAGTAAGTTACATCTTGAGGCCACTTACAGTATCATCTGAAGACAGAAAAAGAAGCTACTTATGTGCTGGCTAACTCGTGTTAAGACGTGGAATGCACCTGTGCATCATCCCTTAGCCTTTGCTTTCTCAGAGTGACTCTAGAACTCTGCTCCCTATCTGCCCAGCTCCTATACACTATGAGCTCAGCCTCAGGATGGGGGGATCTTCTGCAGGTACTGCAAGAGAAGAATTTTCTGGCCTTCAGAGAAAGTACACGTGTGCACCCACAGTATGAATGTATTCATGTGGACTGCATATGTTGAAAAAGTCTGGTAACTATAATCTCTTTTTATGTTTTTCTTTGAAAAGGACTTAAATTACACAATGTGGTCTTTATGACTACAGATATCCAGTTGCCTCTGAAAAAAATATATCTTAGATCTACTTTTACTGAAATAATGCTAATTGTATTTTGTGGAGTGACTTTACTGTGATAGGGGCCATGTTTAAGAAAGATTTAATGGCTACGCTCTTAAAAACAAAGACGAAGCAAAACCATATTCAGATTGGCTATTCGTCCTTGAAGAAATGTCATTTCAGATCTGATTTTTCTGCAAAATTATAACCTAAAATTCATAATGTTATAATCCTGGAATGACTGTTTGTTTTGTGTATCTTATATTTTCATTTCAGTAAGTCTCAGCAGTTTTGTACCACGACAAAACTTTCTAAGCATCGATCTGCCTGTGGTGATAGAGACATTTTGCAAGTATCCTTTGAAGTATGTTTGGTTTTTTAAGGTAAGAAAAGAACTGTTTAGAATTTGGTGACCCAGCAAAATTTCAGTTGGATATCATTTTAGACAGGATGCTTTGAAACATTTCTGTAGCATTTTGACATCTTTATCCCATCTCTGCATTGATTGTTGTCCATGTGCCAAGCTCAAAATGAAATCTCTCACTTTCTTGTGCTTAGCAGGATATTTTTGGTCAGTGCTTTTTTTAACTCTCTTGAGGGTGAATCTTAACAGCTCTGATGAGTAAGTCAAAGTAATCTTGAATTTACAGCAGGACAAATGACATATTGTTGCTAGCATTGGTATATCAGAGTTTTATCATTTTTAAGTCATTATACTGAACTAAACAACAGGTTATAGTTGTGGGGTTTTTTTTCTTCAACAGAAAAGACAGCCTATTCAAAGGCAGGATGATAATTCAGTTAAAACATACTTATTAATGAACTAGATGATATACATACGCATACATAAAGGTTAATAGGCTTAAATATGGCTAATCTGAGAACTTTTAGCCTAAGAAACTGAAACGCTTATGCGTGGCTATAGAACAGTTAAACAATGTAGTTCAGTGTAGTCCATAAAACTAGAGTAAAGATGCTACATAAGCTCCCCTTTTATGGGAACACACCAAGGTTCATGCTGACCCAGCTGCTTTCTGAGTCATATGTCTTCTTGTCCAGCCATTATAGGATGGAGGTAGGTATTAACGTTAGCAAGCCTTTACAAACAATAAAAATTATCTACCCTTGCCTCGCTCTCACATGCACATGCACGTACAGAAATCCACTCAGCTTTTCTGGCTAACAGGTAAGTAGGAGAGAGAGGCCAGATTTCCAATCATATTGTAGCCATTTACTTTTTCCAGCAAGGGAGTGTTTTGGAAAATATTCCTAATCATTATTTCATACTTAGGTCATAGGTCTAGAATACCTTCTTACTTCAGGCATGGTGTCAGAGCTATAACCTGGCTCCAAAACCACACAAAGCAAGGGAGGAAGATGGGCAGTATTAAGTGTGGTTTTGCTGTCTCCTGCTTTCATCTGAGTTGTGGAGAGTGCAAGTTGTTTTAAGTATCCAAACCTAGTGCTTGAAAACAAATGAATCTATAAAGGCAGTTCTCTGAACTGGTATGTTATGTTGTAAAATTCATTGTACTCATACAATTTCTGCGAAACAAAATGGCAGCTAAAAAAACCCCACCCCACTCATGTGTTTCTCTCTGCATACTAGAAATAAAAAATGTTTTATATTTTTTTTTTACGTTTTCTTGGATGTTATTCATGAACCTTAACTAATATTAACCAGGTACCTAATTTCACTGTCAGGAGCACTGGCAGTTATCAATGCTGTACCCTGCTTTGCTTTGGATGGTCAGTGGATATTAAATTCATTCCTGGAAGCCACTCTGAGCTCCCTGATTGTAGAAAAACAAAACAGAGAGCTTGTTGGCTTTTTAATTTTGCTTGCTGGTAGTGCACTTTTGGCTGCCAATGTTGCACTGGGACTTTGGATGGTGACAGCACGGTAGAACATTGGGTACGTTTCCATCACTTCTCAAAGTACACAGAAATAATTAACTCCATTGCCTTTTAAAACTTGTTCAGTACTGAGATTGAAATAATTCCCTTAGAATGACACTGAAAGAACAATCACTGGTGGCTGCTGTTTTAATTTAAATCTGTACAACATTGTGCCTGTGGTCATGGGAAATCTAATAGAAAGGAGTAGGAACCTTTTTATATACTTTTTAAGCATGTACTAATTTTGGAGAAATTGCATTGTAAAGTTTCACAGGAAAAAGCCTAAGACTTCATTAATTTAGATCTCAAAATAAGGGAATTATTTGGCCTCAAAAAACATTTGTGAAGTGGGAGAAAAACCCACAACTTTTATTTTATAATTTGAATAATTGTCAGAAAATCTGTGTGGACTCTGACCAATTCTCAGTCAGCATAGTCTTGAGTGTCTTGTTTTGTTTTTTTAATCTGGTGTTCTACTAAACTGGACTCTAACAGGCCCTAAAGTCTGATCTGAAGATGATGAAAAGCTAAGTAACTGATTACCATGTGTTAATGAGGAGAGAGAGGCCATATGAGTTAGTATCTTTCCTTTTCAGCTGGCCAAAATGACTGGAAGCATGTTGCCCTCGGGATGTAGATGAGAAGTGCCAATGTCTGTTAAGAATGAGACATGTGGGAGAATAACAAAGCCCACGTGTTTGTGTTTCTTACGCATTCATTTCTATATTATTATACGCAGCTGAAAATTTTTTGAAGGCAATATTTGTCAGCAATAGCTACAAGATAACTGAAATTTAGTTTCTGAGTGACGTATGCTGTGCACAATTATTCCTAAGTGATAAGTAAAGTTTGTGTTATTTTACTCAGAAAATAATACTGTGTTATACCTGTTCACAGTTAAAAGTGAAACCGGTTGTTTTAATGGTGTCTGTCTTCTGATGCAATGCATGTAATATGTACAGTAACTCACTGGAGGTTTTCTGTCTTTCAAAGGATTGTTTTCCTTTGCTAGGATTCATTCTTTTCAAAGATAGCCAACAAAGATGTTGAGCTGAAGCTGGTCTTGGATCAGAATTGTTTAGAGGGAGAGTATGATTGTGAATTGAACTATTTAAATATTTGGCTTTGCTTTCTGAAATGAATATGGACCATATCCTTGTTCTTCAATGAACAGTGGAAGAACAGTCAGTGTTGTGCTGACTGAAGTACATCTGACATACTTGGAAGTATTTTAAGTCTGTAATATTTTGTACCCAATAGAATTATGTATTGACTGTCACATCCTCCTGTGGTATGTTGCCTAATTTATATAAATTGGGTTCAGTCAGAGCCTTGCCTCGATATAGGCTGATACTTTAAAAAAAATGCTCTACTTTGGGAGCCTAAATATTTGAAATAGGAAAATTTTGAAAAATACCGAGTACTGAAGCATTCATGACCAGCTCACATACATTCTCTTGGCACTAGAGGTAAAAGCCTGGGTAATTTTAAAAGCAGGGTTGAGCACAATTCCTGGTGCTACTGCATAGGTTCGTAACTATGATGTTTGCATTTGCCCACTGATGTGTTACTGTATTTTTGCACAGTAGCCTTCACACTTACTTAAGATGTATTCTTTTCTTAAGATGATGCGAACAGTAATGAGAGAGCATGTTTGTTTATTTGTTGTTGTGTTAGTTTACTTACCTCTGCAGTGCTGTCACAGGCTGGGTGGGCCTCTTGAAGTTCACCTCTGTGGGGTGGCAGGCTCATGCATCTGATTTTCAAACCATTTCAACCCAAGCATGTTGGCAAAGATCCAGGTAAGAGAGAGTAAACCCTCCAGTCAATCCAGCATGAGTCGGTCCCTTTGGGGACTATAAAAAGTCACACAAAGTGCAAGAAAGGAAAAACAATCAGAAACTGCCAGTGGGCTTCTTTTTCTTCCGGAGACATTCTGAAAGTCTAACCCATCATCACTCCTGGAAACGTATAGAGGTTTCAGGGTAGCAGTTCTGATGGGCCACTCTACCATCTCTCCATGGACAGGAGGGATAGGAGCAGCCTGGTTCTTGCACAAAGCCTGGCTCTGAAGCTATGTTCCAGAAGTCTGCTTGTTCACCAAAGTGGCTGCTTACTAATCTGAGCTCTTCCTTCCAGTGGCTCTGTGCCAATTTCCTCTATCTCTGTGTCTTGTCCAATCTACGGTGCACAAAATTAACTTGCACTTAGTAGTTTTAATGCAGTTTAGTAAGACAGGATATTTACTTCTCAAAACTGCTACTACTTACATATCAGAGTTGCAGTGCTGTCTTAATATCTGAAGCAACAACAAATGCATCTATGATGATTTCAAAAATATTCTGTGAAAAACATTTCAAGTTTGATAGTTTATATATACATGTTGACTACAACTGCTTGGGACAATCTTATAGCATAGTATCCCTCCTGGAGATGTAGGCAAGAGATTTAAAAAAACAAAGGTTATGAATTAACATTCACCAGTTACAACTGCTATAATGAGGCTGGCAGGTTTTTCTTGGTTATTTAATGTGGTACCAAAACATGATATTTTATCAAAGGAAACTAAATCCAGTTTATTTTACTTTACACAATTACGGAAAGCCACAGTTACACTAAGTAGAACTTCAGTCTATGTTTGACCTCATAATCTAAAAGAGGGTGGAGAATACTTCGGTCATGGTTTTAGCAAAACAGGCACACTAGTACGCTGTAAAGACGCTGATTATCTTTTATGGGAGAGAGAGTACTAGAAGTGTTTAAAAATAATTAATGAGTCCATTTCTCCATATGCTGGAATACTAATGAATAAGGGTCAGTTTAGGTATGTAGGGTGCTTTGATTCAAGACTTTAAGCAAACTGGGTATGAATGGTGACCCAGCCCATCTTAGATTACCTGTGGACAAAGGTAATAGTTAAGTTGGACCACTATCTGAAGAAAAAGTTGTTCAGTGAATCCATTTCTTTGTCCTGTAATCCTAACATAGATTGCATTCTGATAAGCAAGTGCCCTATATACAGTTATTGGGAGGGGTTTTGCTGAGAAAAACAAGACAGAACACAGAAGGACACCATGTTTTTTGTGTGTTGGATTTTTACTCTGGAGTATTTGCAATGTTTCTTCTATTTCTGTTTTTCATAAAATTTGAAAGGAAGCCTTTCCTTAAAATGAAATCTCTCCACTTCTAATTAGCTCCTCAGAGTGTAAAGTATTCTTTAATATAGAATCCATCAATATAATTATAGGGCGTGTTGACTGGAGTATAAAACAGAACATTGAATGGATACTACAATTTATGTGTATCCTATGCATTTTAAATCTATATCAGATGGAAAAAGTAAAGTCTAACATTGGGAAGTGTTATACGTAGCTTTTACTTGAAAATTGCCAGAAGAATTCCAAAATTATAATCAGTCATTGTTCTGATTTGTTTTTGTGAGTATTCTTTTTATATTGACAAAGACTTCCCATATCATGTTCTGATAATGCTTGATATGACATGAAAATGGGTAACTTCTTAGCCTGTGGGAAGGTACATGCTTTTTACTAATTAAGAAAGTTAAAACCAGCTTGCTTCCATACAAGTTAAATGAATGAGACTTCACTAGAAAAAGTACAAACCTGCAGATTAGTCAGCCAAAATTTATGAGCCACAGTGGAAAATCTGTTAACTCATCTCTTTTATTTAGAATGAAACAAGCAACTGTATTGACAGTTATATTTTCCAGTGATGATGATTCTGCATTTGTGTATATATGTGTGTATAAATGTATACATACATATAATAGATACATACATAGCCACAGTCTGTATTGCTGCTTTTTTAGGGATAACTTGCAGCAGTCCTCCATACTCTGCAACGTAGGTCGTTTTTTTTTCTTTTTCTCTCTTTTTTAATTCCATGGCTTTCTCTGGGTTTTAAAATTGCAGCTATGTTTTTCTCCTATAACTGATTTAACTTCTTTATTAACAGAAGATTTGTGATGGACATAATGTAACCACAGCTGCATGAGTTTTGTTCAACTAATGTTTAAAGTAAGTTTCTTGCTTTTGCTGTGAGGCCTCAGCTTACAAGCATGGTAAACACAGATTTTCAGGGCAACTGAAAGAGGTCAGCCTTAGAATCCATCACTCTCTAAATGCTGCTATTTGTGCTCTTCAGAATTATAACTGGCACAAGTGAGACTGTGTAGAGTATACTGAAGAAATAACATTATCAGGACAGACCTTCCCGTGGTAGTCACGATGTTTCAGCTTTCTTGAAATAAGGGTATATTTTTGTCCAGTTTAGAACCTCAACAATCCAAGTTTTCTAATAGTTTCCTATACATTTTACCCAATAGCAAAGGATGACCTGTAGCAAGTTAAGTTTTTAAATAAATTCCGTATGTCTTCTATCTGAAAGACCTGAATTTATATCTGGATATCGTTTATGACAGATGAAGAAGGTTATGAAGATTTATGTAGTCTAGTCTGTATTTAATTATTTTAAAAAGAAAGCAGTTAAACTCTAGAAATAAATAGTTATTTGTAAAATATGCATTCTGTACACTTGTATTGAGACCGATTCCCACAACCAGTCTTGCCTCAGCTTTGTTCTTGTGACCTTGTGAGTAAGGAAGCTGAATCTAACTCAGGTAAGATCCAATATTAGCAGTTATTTTTAAACTCTTTTTATCCTGAACTTCATGTAACACTATATATAGATTAGTTATTTAATGTGGTTGAGTTATGTGGGGTACATATCCTGTATTAATGCAGCATTTGGGAAGCACTGTACTAGGGATGGCCAGAAAATGGCAGCTCTGTGACTTCCTCTTGTTCCTTGGACTCATCCACTACAATCACGTGAAGAGCAGATGGCAGCGACTAAGGGCAGTGAAGAACCTCAGTTTATGGCAGCTTTATGAAATCTTCACACTGCTGACCCAGTGTGAAAGGACAGGAACAAAGAGCAGGATATGACACTGCAATTCCATTCATTCCATTTCCATTGGCATGAAACG